CCTCCCGCCCCTCCTTATAAAAACGAAAGGAGGGGAGGTGATCAGTGCTGGAAGAGAGAAGAAGAGAGAGAGAGAGAGAGAAAAAAAAGAGAAAGAGAGAGATGAGAGGGAAAGAGAGAGGAAAAAGGGGGGAGAAGGTTGCGAGGACCATCAGTCAACAATTGAGAGGGAGATGAGGAAAGAGAAGAGGAAAAAGAAAGAAGAAAAAAGGGGTGTTGCGTGCGGCGGTGCGCGGGAGAAGGGGGCAGTCCGAGCAACAATTCCAGGCACGTTTGGTCATTCTGCAGCTCCCTCCAGTGCGATTCCACCAAGTTGTGCCAGATCTAAGGGCGCAAGGCATTTTGCGGTGAATTTCGGCCATTCGGCAACAGCGACATGTGATGAGCAGCACTGACCAATGGCAGGCGACGGCGGCACATGGCGGTCCAGTGGCAGCACGTGTAGAGGCGCACAGACTTCCAGTGGTTGTACGCGGTGAGTCTAGGGACCCAGTTTGGGTACGTGAGTTTAAAAAAAATCCTGATGGTTTACTATTTTAGATTTAAGGTTTATTATTCCTGTTTAATTTTAATACAACAAATTACATATCCAATTTATAATTAAAAATAAGTCAAGACACGGGTATTTGAAATTAGGGGATAACCAACTCGTTACTAACCCAATACGGATATCATTATAATTGGTTGATCTTGTACATCGGGGATAATTTCACGGATAAGATTTAAACAAAAATCAGGTAAGTGCATAAGTGCTTATAAATCTAGTTTAATCTTTCTAAGATATTAAAATTGTGACGTTTAATAATTGGTGATTAGACACATGATTCTGATGGGATTTTTCTAATGATTGTTGTGTTCTTATTTATGTTCAGTACTGAAATTGCTGATGAATTGTTTTGCTATATTTTGGTAACTTAATTCGTGTATATACTGATTGTTATGTAATTAGAAGTATATTAAGAATATGTATAAGAGTTTAGGATGATGAATGGTTACAGTATGCGTGTTATAGGTATAGAATGTATTAAATAATAAAAATTAAAAAATTTATTAGTAAGATGAAATAAATAGATAGAGAATAAAATATTTAAAAAATCCATTTAACTGGTATCACCGATGGGTGAGTGTGCATGTAGCCTTTGGCATGTGACTGTGGTGAACCCTACCTGTAGATACAGCTTTAGTCAGACATGACGATGCGATAAGAACTGTGAACTGAATATTGTGTAATGCAAACTGTGAACTGTGAACTGAACTGTAATATATTCACGTGGTAGAGGAGATTCTTATTGCTCTCATTAATATCGGTAGAAATGGTATCGCGCAATGAAACTATTTTGATAAGATATAAACTGATAGAAATGGATAGGAAGTCATTTGTAACATTTATAATACTAAAACACTGAATTAGTATCTACTGATCTGCTTACTGTCTAAATCGTGATACTAAATACTAAATTATGTTATTTATTTAATTGTTTATGTCCTAAGTTATGATATTGAGATGATGGGTTCTGCATGTTTACGGAATAAATTGATTTGTAAGGT